ATCCCCCGCCGGTGACGCAGAGCCACGATTTCCCAACAGGGAAGTCATTTTGTGCATGCAGGCCTGGCTGAAAAGGCAGTGCCGGCCGAGGACAAGTGCTGGCAAGTGGTGCTCACAGCAGGCTGGGGGCTCAGCGGCCTTGACATGTGACCCCTTGCCGGGGTGGTGGCAGCGGAAGCTGAGGCTGGGCAGAACTCATTGCATGGGTGGCCAAGGGGAAGCAGCATAAGTGCGAGGTGGGTGTGCTGCAGGGTGAAACGTGCCGCTGTGAGTGAGCCCAGCGTGAAGGTGGGCATGCAGCAGGGGCTGCAGTTTCGGGGGAGGAAGGAAGGGCCCCCCTGAGGGGGCTGGCATGGCCGGCCCGTTTGGCACATGCCCGCGCCGCGTCCCTTCCTCCCGGCGGCGGGTGCAGCTGGGCCTTCTGCCTCAGTTTCCTCTGGCCGAAAGGCAACAGCAAAAGGGGTTCGAACCCCCCTCACCCTCCCAGGGCAGCTGGCTTTGGGCTGGTGTTTGGCTTCACTGGTGGCTCATACGAGGTTGAGCTCGCCACGCAGCCTTTTCTGTGTGGGAAACAAATGAGGGGCTCTCCTGCCTTCCTCCCCACCAGTTTCCAGGAGAAGTTGGAATGCTAAATTTGGGGCACTCCCCAGGCCTTTCCGCCACGCTGGGTTGCAATCCGGAGGGTATTCACCGGCCCCGTGCAGGTGCCTCCATTAGAGAAACCTCACTTCCTTAGAAAAGAGGCCGGGCTCCCTCTAACTGCCCACCGCCGTAGGAAGAACCGCCCGCGAGTAAACCGAGGGCCGCTGGGATGCGCCGGGAAAGGGAAGGCCGAGCAGCCACGGCTATAACTACCTGTGGCACTCAGCAAGGCCGCGCTCAGAGCTTCGTGCCTCAGTTTCCCCTCCCCATTGGGCTGCCGGCCCACTGGAGGCCAGTGCAGCTGAGCTGGGGGGGTGCGACCTTGAGGTTTGCACTCGGATCCAGGAGGAAAAATAGCCCCAGCAGGAGGTGGGCTCCCCCCAGATCCTTGTTGGGAGGAATTGAGCTGTTTTTGGGGGAGGCATCGGAGCGAATGGGTGCTCCGGGGTGGATTTTGGCCGTGGGAAGCCCTTTTCCCAGATCCGGCGGTGTCGTGGGTGCCAGTGTTCCCGCCCTCGCTTGCCACAGCCCAGCTGTGTGCCAACGGCAGCTCCGGTTGCACCACCCTGAGGGTGTCACAACCTGCCCGTTCTCAGCCTGGTTCGTAGAGGTCTGGGGGACGTTTTGCTGCCTGGCCGCGGCAGGGTGAGGGAGACCGGAGGGTCCCCAAGCCAATGGGGACGTCCTTGCATCGTGGAGGCTGTGGTGCCCCAGGACCCCTTGGGGGTCCTCATGGCCAGGTGCCCTATAGGGCTGTTTCAGGCCTGTCCAGGGCTGGGAGAGGACCCGGGTGTGCCAGCTCCCCATCTCTGCGCCCATGCAAGGCACGTGCTTGGGCCACACGCATCAGGCCTGTCCGCACACGTCGCCACGCACCTCTCCCCGGCCCCACCGCTGCAGCCCCAGCACCACTGTGAGGGGCACAGGGGCCACCC